GTGTCGGAAGGAATTGACCAATCACAGTTCATTATTCGACTTACGACATCCAATGTAGACCCAGCCTTACTGACTTTACTGGCGTGCGAAAAACGCAGCACCAGTAATTTTCATTGCTACCAACTATACTGTTTTCACTGGCAGTAACTAAATCCATTTTCGAACACATCCATAGAAACAGGCAATCAGAGCTTTGCCGTATCAACGAGTGACGGAAATGTCTGGCTCTGATTGGTTGCTTCTATGACGCACGTTCTATTCCGCAGCTCTATTCTGCACCATGTGATTTCAGCCTTACGCAAGTTACGCTCCATGTGAAAGCACCCTTATCGCATAGTTCAATCACAGTATAACCAGTAGTTGCACTCTCTGTCGGCACCTTTGATCTGGGCGTTCCAGTGAACTCTATACATACTGGAATGAGTGATCTATTGTTCTGACTGTTGCCGAGAGAGAGGTGCGTTTGGGTGAATCCTTGTCTCCTTCTAGTACTACCTGATTGGATAGTTGCATATAAATGACGAGAAGAAGGGCGTCATTTATGTGCGATTATCCAATCAGGTAGTACTAGAAGGAGACAAGGATTCACCCAACGCACCTCTCTCTCGGCTACAGCCAGAACTATAGATCACTCATTCCAGTATGTATAGAGTTCACTGGGGCGTTCTCAATTTTCCGCCATGTTTTTATTCGCGCCAACAGTGTATCAACGACTAAAAGTGCCTGGGCCCTTTTCAGGATCGTATCCAGGAAAGGCACATACGAACTGGCATACATTATTTATTGTAAATGGAAATGGCATATGAAAAAAAATGTTCTAATAAAAGTAATTAATGTAATTACTTGCTCCAACGTATAAAAGTATTTACCCATTATTCGTCAATACTGCGAATTTTTCAATGTCACACCGACTTTGCACTAACACACGTACAAAAATCCTGTGATTGGTCAGAATAAAAACATGTCGGATGCGCAGTACGGATCGGCGCGAACGTGAAACAAAAGAGCGAGTGCCACTACTGGGGAGCGATCGCGTGCACCGATCGAATTCGAATTCGAGAAGGAATATGCCATCCGATACCACTCTTCGTACATGATCAATCTATGGTCTGAGGGAAACTATCCTATAATAAATAAGCATGAACCATGAAACCTGTAGAGTAGAGACGTATGAGAAGTCGACCGATCGAATTCGATCGTGCACGCGATCGCTCCTCTGGTTATACTGTGGTTCAATGGTTATCGCTGAGCATTGTGTAAATGCCTTTAGTCAGTATATAAAAGGCTGTGAGGTTAGGGTTAGGTTAGGTTAGTTAAATGTTATTGAACGCCACATAACCTATAAGAGTGTATCACGTATTTTAAGTGTGGAATAACTTGAATAAGATTCGAGGAAATTTGTATAGGCTTACAAATATATTTGGTTTAAGTTATTACCATAGTAAAAATTTTACATTACGAATATATTGACAAAAGGATTTTTGTGAGACAAAAATAAGCGCGGAAATGCCGATCAGTTTAAACGAAGCAAAGCAAAGTTTTGTTGAGCTGATGCTATCGTTAAATAGATTTGATCAACAAAAATTTTTGGCATTTATTATAGAAGAATGGAAACGTAAGTCGTCTCTGGTTTATAATGATTCAGGTTCGTTATACTTTGATATACTTATTTGCAGGATTGGAATGTTACTTTATAAAAATATCTAGTTACAGTATTTTTTGTTAAATATGTAACTAGCTACAGTTACACATCACACGTTATTGAAAAGTAACGCGTTACAGTTCTCAAAAGTACTCAAAAAGTAACGAATCTTTACTTTGCATCGTTACTTTCTTGCAATAAAAGTAAAAATATCAAATCTGCATTTGAATTATAAAACGTCAATAAAGGCGTTTAGACGCAAATGTAAGGCCCAATACAATCTATGAAGGTTTAAAAAATATATAAAGTAACTATTAATGTAACTGTTACATTGGTTACTAGTTATAAAAAAAATGTAACCAAGTTAAGTTACAGTTACGGGTAAAGAGAAAGCAACAAAGTTAAGTTAGAGTTACCAAAAAACAAAAAACTAACTGTGACTTTGTTACAAGTAACGAGTCACTTCCCAACTTTGCTTATTTGTCATTTCGTATACCTTGATATACTATTTGTCACCTTGTATGCAAATTTGTTATATTTTCTTATAAAATAAAATGAATAAACATGATTTAATACTAATATAGTATTAAATAATGATTAATGATTCTCTCTACTGTTAATTTCCATTCAATTTCTTTACTTATTACGTAAATGAAGATGTACGAATGTTTTAGGACAAAATGCTGCAAATGATAAATCAAACTAATCTAATTAATCCAATTTACATTCTAATTTATTGAGGATTATGTGGATGGTATATATATGCTCCTATATGATATATATATTCTCCTAATATAAGATAGAGTTTCTGCTAAATCAATAGGCGTCATCTGTTGGTTCCACCATAAATTTGTTCTTGGAATGAAATTGTTTAGTGGAAATTTTATTGTTGAAAACCCTCTGTTTCATATTAGGAGCCTAACTCATAATATAGGACTATTCTGTTTCACTTAATACATTAATTCTCTGTTTAATAAAATATCAATATAAATTAATTCTTTTCCCATTTGAATAATTTGTTAATAGAAGATGATGCAGGCGGCAATAAAAAAATAATGGAGGAACCAATATTTATTTTAAATTCTATTGTCTCTGATATTAAACAGAAAGTTCCATTTAATGCTATATTAACATCTGAAAATATTACAGCTCCCTTAACAGGAGAGGTATGTATTGTCACAAGTAAAAGAAATAATTGTTTAATTCTCCGATAAATGACGTTAAATTTTTTCTTCTAGAATTCAGATTGTGATCCCAATATTACATTGCACATGGATGAGTTTCTTTATAGCGATGAAGATATTGACGAACTTGTAGATAATAATCAATTACAAAGGTATTATTGTACTGATTGTGGATCTAGAAGTATAAAACCATTGAGTAAGTAATAAATTTAAATGTTTACGTGCATTTGTGAGTAAATATTTATGCGCATTTTATTTCTAAAATTCAAGGTTGCCTGAATTGTTTATCTTTTTTTAACAATAAGTTAAAGTTAACAGCCTTGAAAATTTACCTTGCAAGGGGACACTACACCTAGTACATGGAGAATCGGGATGCCAATTTTTTTGGCGATTCTAGAGGTCAAAAGAAGTATACGTATCTTAGCGTTTTGTCCAATGCCCCGTAGTTTTCGAGTTATAAATTTTTTTAAAAATCGAAAAGTGCAGCAGGGATTTAAGAGCCGTCCCATTGCACTTCCACGATGCAATTCCAATTTTTTATTTTTGACTAACATCTTACTGTCATAGTGGTATTGACCAAACAATTAATATGTGATCGTTAACAAACTTGTAACCGATTACTTGATAAGGATCCAAATCTGGGATCAAACGCTATAACGTGTTTTGCTTTTAAAATAAAAACATTGGCCAGTGTAGGTCGTTAAAATTGTATATCATTGGTTTTTAACTTAACTTTTATAATATCTCTTTAACTAGACACTACTTAACCCTGCTAAAATTTATTACAACTACAGCAAAGAACTTAAAGACACATTATTTTTTAATATAGTCTCCTTGCTTTTTAACACACTTGTTACGTTGAAAATTCTACTTGCGGGTGTAAATTCCAAGTTTATGTCTTTCCAAGTTATGTTATTCCTCAGAAAAAATGTCTTATGGTTGCTGTGTCAGTTTCATGCATGCATTGCGTCTTGTACATGTTAATGTAGGAAAACAAGTGGTAGTCTGAAGAAGTAAAGTAAACCCTAAGTAAAAAATAGATCACAGTCAACTATTCTCTTCACTTTTAACGGTGATTGGATAATTTTTACCGATTTCGGCATAAGTTAACGGTTACGGCCTTGCATAAACCAGCCTTTAGAGTTACATGGTGGATAATCTAAAATCTATGAATTTGAAATTATCTTTTTCTTCTTATTTAAGATTTAATTCTTAGTACACTTGCAGCCCTAAAAAATAGATCATTGGTCTCGGGGCTTGATCATGATTTTTCTCCTCTAGCTCGTAAAAAGTTAAAAATTTCATTGACGAATTTGTGATTGAATTTTTTTACCCAAGGAAAACAATAGGCAAACAAATTTGCAAAAAATAAATTTTTAACAATGTGACCATAAGGGTCTATCTTGACAAATTTCTATACACATAAAGAAATTGATTGGTCTGTTTCATTATGCGTGCATTTATGATACTCAATCAGATTCCTTGTGCACACGTTTATGCGCTACGCAAATTTGTCTGGATAGACCCTAAATATTTTATGCGTCAAGACATCCAAGAGAAGCAACTGCAACATGAACAATGTTATAAAAAAAAATGCGGATAAATATTGATACTCCTTTGTACAATTACTTTTTTCCCTTATTCCTTGTTGTATATTACGTGAGCGTAACATGTATATTTATAATTTTAGTTTTGTTATCGCACTCCATGTCACACGAAGGATTAGTTTTTATATTTAAAGTTCTACTGCCTAGTTTGAAAAACAAAACTGTACTTGATATAGGATCGAGATTGGGCCCAGTTCTTTATGGGGTAAGGATTAATTAGAAATGTACATACCCAGATAGCCAGTGTGAGCACAAGTTAGCATCTTGCTATGCATCTACGTCATCTATTGTGCTGTTGTTTGCTAATATTTGATGTCGGAAACATTTGCATGATCCAAACATTATGCTAGCATGAAGTGCCTGGCCAGATGTGATAGATATAACATGTTTATATCTGTTAAAAAATTATAAACAATGTATACTAACTCTTTGTTAACAGTATGCCTATTCGATGTGTTCTCTTTTTAGCTGTGTATTCAACTACGACAATATGTTAACATTATGCTAGTTGTAATTAAATCACTCTCAAACATTGAATTCTTATTCCTAGCGAAAAGCTAGCATCAGTTGCTGGCATTTTATTTCCTTACATTGCTTGAGTATACTGGTCATTTGAGTATTACATTTACATATTGCATCTGTAACCTGTAACTTTATTAATAAACTAATATATCACTGAATAGGCAATAAGAAAATTTTCATTTACAATAATTTACTGAAAATTGTAACACTTTTGTTTCACAGGCGTATGTATATACGGACGCTGGAAAAATTATCGGTGTTGAAATGAACGAGGAATTCTGCAACCTCCAAAATGAGATTATATATAAATACAAAATGAACGATCGTATATCTATTTTGCACAAGAGGATAGAAGAGGTTCCAGAGACGATCAAAGAAAGCGACGTTATTGTCATTAATAATTCGTTTGAATTTTATTTGCCCAGAAATGTACAGATTGATGTGTGGAAATTTTTGAAAGCTGCGATAAAACCGGGAACACTGCTCATCACTCGTCCGTCAGTCGATGAGACTTTTAAAACTTTATCAATTGACATCTCAGTAGACAAGTGGTTGAAACCTTTTAAGAAACCACATTCTGATGAATTCTCTTTCTTACCTTACTACGAAGATAAACTCGCGGAAATATTGTGTTACGAAGTTCTTTAAAAGAATCGTATGTTTTCAAGGAAAATGCAATTTTATTGAAGGTACTGGATTTAAAACACTTGATATACGTAAGTACATATACATATATGTATACATATACATATACATATGTATGTATGTGTGTATACGTGTGGTGTGTAATTATTAAAAATATACATATATATGGATACATATGTATATGACTCGTGTGTTTAAATACAAGGTATGCCACAAATCTATTGAAATTTTAATAATGTATTCTTAAGCAGAAAATAAGATAAAACTTCTAATATAAAAATGTCGAAATTATAATACTTTGCAAATGGGAAACATTTACAATAGATGAATCAGGTAGTCTAAGGCCCAGTTTCACCAACGTCGCTTAACTTTGAGCTTAGCTTAATTCTTTGTCTCTTTCCAACTGTTGCTCTAGAAAGAGACAAACATGAATTAAACTAAGATTAAAGTTAAGCGACCCCAGACAACATGCATGTCTAAACGACGTCTTAAAAACGTCTTACAAGAGATGTCTAAGATTTTAAGTCTTAAATATAAAATATATATACATATTCTTTTATAGTAAGTCAAATTTAATGTTCCATGTTTGTGACGATTCAGTTATGTGGCTCGCAATTTGCAAGTGCTCTATATCAGGAAGTTTGAAAATTGTCCTATTAATTCTTATAAAATTAGAAAATTATTGTAACGTACCATTCGGATTTTTGCTTACTGATTATATTATTTGTAGTCTATATTAAAACTTACACGCAATCACAATTTCACATATTGTAAACGTGAAACAAGGCCAACAATCCCATTTGAATAACGCGCGGCTCTTTGCATAACCGCCGTATTGATCGCTTTGGCAGCAGGCAATAGGAACAGGGAATAGAATTTCTGACGCGTTGGGTTGGTTGAAAGAAAACTTCTGACGAATCCAACGCGTCAAAAATTCTATTCCCTATTCCTATTGCCTGTTGCCTGGCATTGTGTTTGGGCCTTTATCGTACGAGAAGTTTAGAGCCGTGGCACATAAATGGCCTTAAGCAATAAGACGTAAGCAGTAAACGAATTGACCAATCATAGTCTAGAATTATGACAGCCATATTATATTCTCGACTATGATTGGTCAATTCGTTTACTGCCTATGTCTTATTGCATAACCCCAGGGGCTCGATTCTTGAATTTATTCGAAGGAGAAACGTATGCGAGAATTATGCTCTTACAGAAAAGTTGCAAGTTGGTTGGCTATTCGCATGGCTTTAACCAATCGACTTTCAACTTTTCTGTCAGAGCAGAATTTTCGTATACGTTTCTTCTTCGAATGAATTCAAGAATCGGGCCCCTGGTCCACAATCTTGCTTTAAGTAAACTGTAAGCCTTAAGCCGTAAGAAATTAACCAATCGCAGGTGAAAGTGAGGGGAATAAATGTCTGTGATTGGTTAATTTCTTACGGCTTAAGG